ACTGTATCATGTTGTTAATGCTGAAGATACCCCACAAAACCTTCAAACAAGTGTTAAGCTTTTAAGGGGTGAGTGGTCAGGGAAAGTTAAGGTCCCTAGCATTCTTCTGGTCACAAGAGGATCACTCCCATCACATAAATGTCAGTGAACTCAAAGCAACATGCTTCACCTGCCAGATATTCTTTCCCTCTGTCGGTCAAAGTGGTGCAGATCTTGATGGACAATATGGCTGTGATGTTCTGCATCAACAAGCAATGTTGAGTATCAGAAGAGTAGCTGTGTTAGTCTGGATCCGCAAAAGCGACAAGGAGTCCTGTAGCACCTTATAGGCCAATACATCTGTTAGTGTATACGGTGCCACAGGACTCCTTGAAGCAATGCAGAGCTGTTCCTCCACCGTTTCTAGAGGTTCTTCCATTCTGGGACTTCTGTAAGGAACACACCATTTATCTCGAGGTGTTACACCTCCTGGGGGTCCAGAATATGCTGGTGGATTTCCTTAGCAGGTCCTCCTCCACTTGCCATGAGTGGCCCCTCCTCAAGGAGATCATCAGTGTCATCTTCCAGAGATGGGAGACTCCCTGGATGGATCTATTTGCCTCCGGTCAGACTGGGAAATTGCAGGAGTTTTGCTCATTGCACAGGTTAAGGAAAGTCTTCCGGGCCAAAGCCTGCCTGCTCTTGTGAGTAGGTAGACTGCTGTACGCTTTCCCACCAACATTCTTGGTCTCTTGATCATTAAGAGGACCATAAAGACAAGGCAAGGGTTACATGGATAATCCTGGTGAGGCCACGCTAGCATTAGTTTGGCATGTTTCTTTCCAAGCCTTTTTATGGCAGGGACCATGACACTTTTTGGGAAGCTCATGGGAAAGAAACACTTGGTTGTCACACCTTACTATCATCAGATGAAAGACCTGGTGGAAAAATTTAGTAGAACTTTGGGAGCCATGATATGCAAATTTGTGAATGACCCAGCAGTGCAGGGAACTAACATTTTGGATTGTGTAGGCAAATTGCAGAAAACTCTTTAGCCCTTTCTCAAGAATCTGCAGTGTGCTCAGCAAGAACAGAGGACCTGGTATGATAAACATGCCAGAGAGCGTTCTTTCAAGGTAGGTGGCCAAGTCCTGAAGGCACTCCAGGCCAATAAGATGGAAGTATCATGGGATGTTCACAGTCCAAGACCACATATGGACTGTTAATTACCTCACAGGATTCCCAGACTCAAACCTAAATCTAAGGTACATCATTTTTAAGCTCTTTTATTCTTGAGAAATTAAGGTTCTTCAGTTCGCAGCAAAGGAGAGAGATACCACTGAGTGCCACTGAGGGGTACTGCCAGGTACAACTGGATGTGTCAGCCAAGGAAAGGTCAGCCTTTGTCGCACAATGTAGGGTGCTCTGAATTTAATGTGCTCTCTTTCAGGTTGCTCAACACCCCTGCTGCCTTCCAGACACTTGTAGATAATCTCCTATCGGGTTCTGGAGAATTTGCAGTATCCTATCTTGATGATGTGGCCATCAAGGTAGCACACCTAGAGTACCTCCAAGCTGTTCTCCAGCATATAAGGGAGGCAGGACTGGCAGTTTAAAGCTAAAAGTGTCAGATAGGTGTAAGGCCTAAACATGGTGACTTACCTGGAAACCAGCGGGATGAGGGCGCTATCAACCCCCTCCAGGCTAACAAAGAGGTATCCAGAACTAGCCTGTCCCTAAGTCAAAAAAACAGCTCTAGAAGGGCCCAAGCTTTATCAGCAGCATTCTTTGCACAGATTCCAATCCAGGACATCTGCAGGGCCACAACATGGTCATCTATTTGGACCTTTGCAGCCCGCTACACCATCGCCCAGCAGGCCTGTAACACAGCCAGTTTTGGGAGAGCAGTGTTACAATCAACACATCTGTGAACTCCAAACCCACTGCCGAAGATACTGCCTGTGACAATACTAACAAGGAATTGTCATGAGCAAACACACGAAGAAAAAAAAATGGTTACTTACCTTCCATACCTGTTGTTCCTGTCCATCCCATGTCCTGCCCTCCTGCCACTCTGTCTGAGTTCGGCAATAAAGAACTGAGAGGGTGTGAGGTTTAGGGTATCAGCATGTAGACAGCTACATGATTAGCCATTGAGCCTAGGCTGATCAGTTAATTAGATGTTAGTCAAGTAAATGACTACTTGTGAAGCCTGGGCTTATCGGTTAATCCTGTTGACTACACGCACTCCCCCCTTGCTGACTCTGTATCAGGCTCTTTAAGCAGGCTCCCCACAATCATTGGATCTACCTGCCCCCTCCCCATGCTGCTGCCTGCTTCTGATGGAGGGGAGTAAAGATGGGGGGGCAGGCTGGAGCCGACATGCATGAGGAACTGGCTTTCAAGCCATCTCTCTGCGCATGCTGGCTCCACAGCCCCACCTGTCTTCCCCCCCCCTCCTCCCTAGACGGGGGGGGGGCAGGGACAGGGGGCTGCCATGGAGCAGTCTCTGTCTATGGAGAGCCTGGGCTCACCACAGACAGAGGCTGCTCTGTATCCCAGGGAGCAGCCTGTGTCCAGGAGTGGCCTGAGGCCGGCTGTGGCAGCTGGCGCCCCAGGCAGAAGGCACGATTGGTGCCCCTGCATGCACGACCATCAATGGCCGTGACATCCTCATTGGGCGCCCAGGCCGGTGGCGCCCTAGGCAACTGCCTGGTTTGCCTAGGCTCACGGGCCGCCCCTGCCTGTGTCCACAGCGAGCGTGGGTCCACCACCGACAGAGGCTGCTTCGTTGCCGCAGTCCCTATCTGTGAAGAGGGGTCCGAGCTCCCGCAGACAGGAGCTGTTGGCGCGGAGCAGCCTTTGCGTGCAGGGAGCTGGGGCACACTGCAGACAGAGGCGACTGCTGCCACGTGCTGTAGCCTCTGCATCAGAGCAAGGCTGGTGGTGTCCCTTGTGCTGGCCCTTCAACATGGAACTCCAGAGGATGCTGGTTAGGACCGGCCCTTATGGATATGACTGCTGGAGAGTTTTCCCTTAATAGTGCACGTGACACACACACACACCCCTAACATGGAATGGACACGAGTAACATCTTCAATTATGGAAAGTCGGTAAGTTATTTTCTGGACAGGGAATTGTTGAGGGATTGCAGGGGAGAACCCAGTGAGTTTGGGCCCTGAAAAAAAGGATGAATTTAGAGAGAACCTGGAAAATGCCTGCTGACAGGCCGAGACAGGAAGAAATACAGGAAGATAGCAAGGGATGGACCAGCTCACTCCGGGGCTGGGGCTGTCATTGTGGCTGGGGCTGTAGCAGCTGCTCTGTCAGGTTCGGCTGCAATGTCTCCTCCTACTCTGGAGCTTGCTACGCAGATCCTTCCCCCTTCAGCAGTCAGCCCTGAGTGAGCTGTCTCACGGCCTTTTATACTCCTGCTCACCGGTGAGCGTGCCCAGCAAGGCTGTGGGGAAGGGGCACTCTCAGCCAGCTGGGCTTAGCCCACAGTCTGTTCTATAGTGCAGGGCCAGAACACCCAGTCACACATCCCTGATGTAAGTTCCTTGGGATAGGGGGCTATTATTTGTACAACAGCTAGCACAACGGAGCCCTAGTCTATGGCTATGGCTGGATGAAGCAGCAATTGTCTTCTGCAATAGGTATTGTTTCTTAAAGAACTCATTTCTCAAAATAGCAAAAGACTTAAGCTAGTTACACAGAATGGAATACCTACATAATTTGATTTTGTTTAGGTCAAATCTCACCGCAAAAATATTGGCAGAACTATGTACTAAATTCTGCCTTTGCGTACACAGCTATAATTCCACTGAAATAAAAGTCCTGTGCAGTCATTAAATATTGTTACATTTATTTCCCAGAGGAGATGGGATTTATTTTCCAAAGGAATCTGTGACTTTTGGGGAGTGTTAACACAAGCCTTTAGTGGCAAAGTATTTTGAAGTCCCTTTGGAATCCTACCTTCTTCCAGAGTGGGGAACAGCTTTGACAACATCCATCAAGGTTGTCAAATGCTAAATAACTTGCTCAAGATAATTGAGCAAGTCAGTGACACGCCTGTGAATGGAATTACCGGTGAACAATCACTCCTATTTTCATGCAATATTCACTAGACCACACTGCAAACTAAACTTTGACCTGCTGATTCATCTGCAGTGTATAGAGGTGTGGCCTCAGTATGTCGTAGAGGTCATTCTAAGGACAGTACTGAATCACTCTTCTTGTTTGGGCTTATACAGCATATAGATCTGGAGAGGAGTGCCAAAGCTGTTCCTAATGATGGCAGCAGTTCAAAGTGAACTATAATGCTATTGGTACCAGGCATTGTAGTCCATTGATTAATGAGTGAATACTGACTTCCTTTTGAAATCAGCCTCAAATGTATTTACTTTAAGGCATGACAGTGTTTGATGATAAAATGTATGTAATATACATCTCTGGATTGGTGTTCTATCTCAAAAGATAATTCACTTTCATGTGATAGAAATGTAGCCGTGTTAGTCTGGGGTAGTTGAAGCAAAATGCAGGACAATGTAGCACTTTAAAGACTAACAAGATGGTTTATTAGATGATGAGCTTTCGTGGGCCAGACCCACTCATGTGGATTTTAACAGCTTAATTTTGAAGCTGTCATTTTTTAACTAGTGTTGGTCAACAAGATTTTAGAAGACTGGATGTCTCCGGAGAATGGTAATCTATCTGTTTTAGACATGTGTCTGCCTGTCCATCTACGAGTCTGTTTGTTCAAGAACTCCTCCTATGGTAAGAGCTAGGACCACCAAATTTGGTAGGCAGCTTCCTCTTATCCTAACCTAAAGTAAGGTCAGGGTCTGGTTGTGCCAAGATAATGGGAATGGGACTGTTTTCCATAACATGGAAAGGGAGGGGGAAGAGAGAGGAGGGACACAGAGGAGGAATGTGATACTGAGAGTGGCCAGTAGGGGCAGCCACACCACCAAGAGAGTAGCCAGTAGGGCTGAGGCTCAGCCATCTTGCCTTCCACCAAACCAGATAAGTAATCCCCCTGCTCCAAACCCTTTCCTGCCCCAGCTCTTGGCTGCAGCACTAGAGGGGGTGGAGAAAGCCCGTGCTGATGGGGGAGGAGGGGGAAAGAAAGCCCTGCCCTTTGGGACCCCCTGTCTTAAGCCCCTCCTCACCCCCCACCCTCATTTTTGCACCCTCCCATGCCTCAATCTCCTGCCCTTCCTCTCCCAACCCAAAAGCCCTGCCCTGACTCCTGAACCCACACACACCGCCAGCCCTTGCTCTAAAGGACCAAGTCTTCTAATGGGGATATAAAGGTATTTAACTTAAAGTCACTGGTACCAGTTCACCCTCAGGTGATCCTTCAAAGATGTATTTGTGCAAGGAGTTGAGATCTGACCCTACAAAGGCTGAAATTTGGCTTAAACTAAAAAGTTAGGTCAACCCAGGTATGTTGGTCAGGGTTGTGAAAAACCCACACCCCTCAGCAACAAAGAGGGAAGCCAATCAAACCCCCAGTGACCACAAGGCCAAGGCCACAGAAGAAGTCTTCCATTGACCTAGCTACCATTTATTGAGAAAGTAGGTTATCTGTGCTAACAATAGTACTTCTCCTGCAGCCACTTCAGTGATTTCCCAGAGAGCCAGCCACTCCCCAGGCGTGGGGCCAACTGGCTCTGCTCCCCGTGTACAGGGAAGCTGGCTTTTAAGGCAGAAATATTCATGGTAAGCATAAGGAGCCTCTTAATGACAGTGTGCCAAAGGTTTCCCCTTGTACCTTTCCTGACTGTATTGTGCCCATAGGTGCATTGTGTTGAGCACCATTGATTATGGACACCTGTGCTCAAAGAGGTAAGGATTGACTATTGCCATATAATTTGTTTGACGTTTTCACTGTGATTGGGAGGGGGAGCGCATTTTGGGGGTTGTTTGGCTGTTTGTTGTTTTGTTCCATTTTGTGTTCAACATTTTGGTGTTGTGGCCTTAATTTTTCTTGGGTTTTGTTTTGTTTCCTTACCCAGGTCTGTTTCCAACAGGCTTCTCTATGAAACCCAATGAATTTCCTCCCTCTCCCACTTATTTCAGAAGAACCCCATAATCTAGGGCTGGTAGGGTTGACTGCTGAATGCTGGATAAGGGAGACATAAGCAGTGGTGCAAGTGGAATCCATTTCTTACCGGGATGGGGGCAGGGGGTACATGACCCTTCATATGGCTCCTCCCCACCCTGGGCCCCCATGTTCTCCCCATCCCCTCTTACCTGTGGGAGGCACCTTCCTCCTCTTCCCACTGCACTGGAGACTTTGCAACAGCAGCAGGGAGAGGAGTTTCTGGTGCAGCTCTGCTTAGAAGGGCTGTGGCAGCAGCTGCGTCTGTCTGGGGTCAGTATAGCAGTGTGCAGCCCCACTACAGGACAGCACTGGGAACAGTACAGCCCCATCAGAGGAGCTGCTGGCATTATGCTCCTTTCTCCACTGCAATTCCTGGGAGAGTCCTGCAGCACAGCCCTGCCCCCTTTACTTTCCACAGAGCTGTGGTACAGCTGCTGCAGGAGTTGCTGGCGTCCTGCTCTTCCCTCTGCCAACCCGGAAACCACAGCAGGGAAAGGAGCAGGATGCCAAGAGCTCCTCTGGTGCAGTCCCACTGCTTCCCCCCCTCCCCTGCAGGGCTGCTGTACAGACCCCAGAAAGATGCAGCTGCATGAAGGAGCAGGGTGGTAGAGCTGTTGCCAGAGGAGCTGCCTTCCCCCACTGCAGTTTCCAGAAGAGCCCTGACTTGCAGAACTCTCCCAGGAACCACAACAGCGAAAGGAGCAAAACTTGGGGTCAGGCCAGCAGCTCCTTCCGTGCAGCTGTATCACACCAGCCCCAGCCGCTGTATAGAGGGAGAAGATCCTAAGTGGAAAGGCTGAGGACGGTACAGCCTCTCCATAGGAGTTGCCAACATGGGGGCACCGGGTACACCATCTTTCCCCTGATATCCCTGTCTAATCTTTTCTGCTCTCTGGATACCTGGTTTTCTTCCTCCAGAGTGCCACAGAAAATTCAGGCAACTCATAATTGGGTGAGAGTGCATGTGGTATATTTGTGTCTTAGAAAATAAAACAAAGTACCGTCTTTTTATTTACTTTTCTATCTTCGAGGCATCATCTGTTATGCGGATAAATGGAAGTTTCTAAGGTATTTTAATATTAAAAGTGAGGAAGGCCATATCAAAAACTAGACAGGGACCCTTTGTCTGGTATTGCTGCTTTGGGGAGATAGGGCTTGTGGGTGAAGAGGGCTGAGCTAAACCCACTGGAGAACGTGAGCCATTGCGAGTGTCTGCCTCGAGTTGGTTGTTGGTGCAGATAAGCAGAGCTGTCACACCGCTGACAATCCAAAGTGAGTAACCACACTCTTAACCAGGCCCTTGTGAAGGGAGACTATGGAAGAAGGCTACATCTCCTAGCCAGGAGAAGCTCCTCCGCTTTTAGCACAGGAGTAGGAGCTGTGCTTTCCCCCATTCCATCCCTTGCTCATTTAAGAATGGAGATGATATTATCTATGTGCCTCACACAGGCATTTCGTGGAGAATGTTTCTAAAGCACTTTAAAGGTGACCTAATAAAACAAAAGATGAGAGCCAGCGAAATAATGGCACTCATCAGAGAGGAAGGAATTTCTAATCAAGAATATTAAAATAGTGTTGAACTTCAATAACTGACATTTTGGAGAAAAGATGCCCTTTTTCAAAGGTTCAAAAGCCTCACCATTTTGAGGTCTGTCAGAGCTCAAAATAAACATTCCAGAGACCTCCCCAAGAACATTCATCAAAAGCTGGAAAAACTTGATATTGTTGATATATTTCTAAGCTTCAAAATAATCAGAAAACATTTTATTTCAGAGTATATCTACACTACCCTTCTAGTTCGAACTAGGAAGGTAATGTAGGCATACCGCACTTGCAAATGAAGCCCGGGATTTGAATTTCCCGGGCTTCATTTGCATAAACTGGGCGCCGCCATTTTTAAATCCCTGCTCGTTCAAACCCCGTGCCGCGCGGCTACACGCGGCACAAACTAGGTAGTTCGGACTAGGCTTCCTAGTCCGAGGAGTAACGGTAGGTCGGACTAGGAAGCCTAGTCCGAACTACCTAGTTCGTGCCGCGTGTAGCCGCGCGGCACGGGGTTCGAACGAGCAGGGATTGAAAAATGGCGGCGCCCAGTTTATGCAAATGAAGCCCGGTAAATTCAAATCCCAGGCTTCATTTGCAAGTGTGGTATGCCTACATTACCCCGCTAGTTTCAACTAGCGGGGTAGTGTAGACATACCCTAAGAGAACTTTTAGGCTGCCTTTGTAGACCACAAAGGAAAAAAAAGTCACAAGTCCAATTTTCAATCCTAGTTTTCAGGTTACACTTGGTGCTGCATGTTACCTGGTACAGTGATATATTCTTAGCATAATAAAGCAGACACAGGAGATATTTGTCACTTGGGCTTAGCTTCTCTTCCCTGACCATTAACTGCTGGTTCTTCCATTGCTTAACTGGACAATTTTAGAAGTCTCTTCATGTCACTGCCATTCTGGCCCCCTGCTGAGCAGATCCATTTACTGTACTTGCAGTAGTAGAGCTGCCTCCTCTCAGGTGCTGAGTGCAGGAACTGGAGCCAGCAGGAGACCAGGTACAGAAAAGTGAAAGAGTTTTAAAGGGATGTAAAAGGCAGGGAGGAGGGGCAGGTAGAGGGAAGATAGAAAGATAAGAGTGTGACAGGATTTTAACAAAGAATACCAATAAAGATCTGAAGAGAGAATGTAGCAGGACAAGGAAATAAAGTCTAGCAGCTAGTCCTGGCTTCAGGAAAAACATTGGGGCAGTAAAAAGGAGAGATCAGACAGAGGTATAAATGAACAGATATATCTAGTTATTGTGTGCATTCACAGATGAAATCTTGCAGTAGGTTCTTAGTTTGAAACTTCTTTCAACATGTGCTTTAGACCAATGTAATTCCAGTGAGGTTTTTGTTCTGCCCGAGCAGACTGCAGGATCTATAGATCCTCTTTTTACAAGATGTGAAGACCACCTAATTGAGATTGTCATACCTGGTCAGACACTTACTAGGATTTCAGCAAAGGTTATAGGGTCACAGATTGTGAAGGGGAAGAAGCTTTCAAGCATTTGATTTTTCATACCTAAAATAAAGTGTAGTATTTGGAGTGAGAGATGTAGAATGGGTTTTATTTTGTTCACCTTGACCTGTGGTGAGTTTCTTGATGGTATGAGTCCATTCTGTTGTTCCATTATTCCAGATTCCACTATCAGTTTCTTTAAGTTGGTGACATAGAAGGTGATGAGACACCCCTCACTATTTTATTCCAGACTGGCTCTTCATAGTGCACATATTGGTTTAAATTATGCTTTCAGTTAAACTGGAATGAACCTTTGGTAACTCTACTGGGGCAAATAGAGTGGCTTTGATTTAAATTATTGTAAAGACAGCAGAATGTGGCTTACTCTGTATAATAAGGTACAAAATTAATAGCCTAACAGATGCAAGCAGTCTGGGCATGTTAACATTGCTACAAGAAATTTCCTAACTTCTTTGTTACTAAACATTTGCAGCATAAGGCAGTGCATTCATGTAGCGTCTCACCTTTCTCCCCATCCCACACAAGAGCAGTTGAATAGGTGAAGGAATTTGAACTCTGAGGAGGGCACTTGTCAGTCACCTCCGCTAAGTGCAAGGGATGGGCAACTCTCACAAGGGTACCTTAAGAGACCTGCTGGTGGAGGCTCCTCAAGTGATCTGGGTAAGTTCTTGGCTCTACCACACACATCCTGTGTGATCTTGAACAAATCACATTCATCTCTGTCTTTAATCTCCATCTTTATGGGGCATAATATCTCCCTTTCTCCTGAATGCCCTAATGCTTTTTTGTAGGGCACACCAGCTGGCTTGGAATCCTCACAGTAGAATAGGGATTGTGGGTAGATTGTGCTCAGACTCCTCTTAACAGCACCCCCCAGCCCAGGTTCCATCAGCAAAACCCAAGCAATGAATCAGACACATTGTTGAGACTGGCCTATTTAGAAAAACAGGAGAATCTCCATTTCCCTAGTCAGGACAATAACTATTCAAGTGTACAGTGTTAGTAGGGTATTACACTAAGAAGGGAGTAGAATTATTAGGGCCCCTCTAGGAGGGTGTAATGACTCAGCAATGGAAGGAAACAACCAGGGGAAAATTTAAACTTCCTGTTGGTGAGATGTGTTATACTAGGGAAGCACTGGAAACCTCATAGCTGAGCCACTTCCAATGAGTCTGCAGATTATTCTGAACTGAACACTCCTGCAAATGCCCTGGGTTGGTTTATGTTGACTCCTTGATCTCTTCCCTCTCTGTGTTCTAATCAAGCTCCCTCTTCCTATGCCCCTGTGGCAAGGCCTGTGGAATAATCCACGTCAGCACAATCACTTATTTGGCTTTTTACAGCCTATATAGATAAAGCAGTTCATTGTGTAAGATTACCAGCAGGTTTAATGTCCCATTATATGAACACAGCAAACAAAAGTATAATAAAAATATTAATTTAAAACTTTTAAATCACACTTGAAAGCATTTTATGGTCTGGATTTTTTCACCTTCACAGATGTTGAAAGCCTATTCCATAATTTTGCATATGAATTCATGCCTGTCTTGGCAAATATTAGTTAACTTTGGCAGAACAAGTTATTTATTGCTCAAGA